GCAAAGTCGGAACCAACTCAATGGCACCTAACAATAACAACAATTTCTATTAAACCCTAACATATTTTTTTATCTTCATGCCTACAGAAAGATACTCCCTCAGTCCACATTAAATCCTCCAGTATTGATAACTGTAATAAGCAGATACAGTAAAACTAACTCAGAGAACCTGCATGCGTAACTGCCTATTCTCTAGAACTAGTCTACTCTCTCCTTTCTAACACAAATACTTCACTATTTCCTCAGTAGAAAATGAAATTTCTATCTCAATTACAAGCATAAAGGAAAAAAAATAAGTACAGAAAATAGACCTAAGAATTTTAAACCAGAAAGGGAAAATAACTCTCGAGTTTCTAGTTTAAAAATGTTTATTTCCCCCCAAATGGTCCCAAGTCCAGACTATAAATTAATATGATTTAAAGAGATTGTTTTTATTAACTAACATTTTTAGAGATCTATTGAATTTTGATTTGTAATAATTACCTGAAATTACTTGAGGGTGCTTCTTTGCACAGTAACATTTTCTTATATCTACAATAGGCACACTGCCAGTTTTGTTGTAATCCAGTTTCATAAATGCCTAAATAGAGAAATGTTATTTTTTCTGTGAAATCATTAGACATGCAAACTTAATTTTCTATTTTCAGTAGCTTATTTCTGAGCTCTAAGCAAGACAATTTAAAAGTACTTAACTGATACATAAGGAAAGCATCACAAATATAAGGAAACAGATACTAGAGCAAGATTTTAGGAAAATGGCACTTAAGTATCAGTTCTACCACTTTCTAGCATCCTAACTTTTAGAAAGTAACCTGAGCTCTGTTGCCCTAGTTTCCCTCCTCTGTAAATTGAAGAGTTGGGGTACCTGACCTCTTAGGTATCTTCCAGCTCTAGGATTCATAGGAAACTGATAAATGGCCAAGACAAAACTTCTGGGACTAAAAGTGAACATGCAAAATATTCCATCACGAAAATCAACGAGAAAGTGAAATACCTTAAAAAAAGTTTTGTTGCTTTACTTCTTGAAATTTAACACTACGTTTTGCAATGCTAGTTTTTTTTATTGCTTCTTTAATTCAATGCATGAGTATCGTGAACTATCTTATTGGGAAGAGGGGTAGGTACATAGAAACATATGACCTACCCAAAGCCACGTTTACAGAAGAGTCAAAATACTAGAATCAAGTTTGTTTAATCACAGTATTGTGTTCATGGAAATATGGTACCTTATAACTCTTACTTTGTCCTCTATTCTGAGTACCAAAAGTTATGAAAGAGACACATTCAGTTTCTACTCCTGCCTATAGCAGGTAGCAGGACAAGCCACAGATACTTAGTTTCTTAGGGCTGCCACAGGAATATATCTCAAAGTGGGTGGCTTTAAAGAACAGAAATTTATTTTCTCACAGTTTTGGAGGCTGGAAGTCCAACTCAGGAGACCATCTATGTTGACTGCATCTAAGGGTTCTGAGAAAGATATGGTTCCATCCCTGTCTCCTATCTTCTAGTGTTGCACATTCTTGGTGTTCCTTTGCTGATTGTAGATGCATCTGACTCTGTTATCACATGGCATCTCTTCATTTGTGACTCTCTCTTAATGTGTCTGTTCCCCCCTTTTATAAGAATCACTCAGAAGGGATTAGGACTAGGACCGACTCTATTCCGGTATAACTTAATGGATAGTATCTTCAAAGAAAAACCCTATTTCCCCAAACAAGGTTATATTCATGAGTACAAGGGTTATGACTTCAACCTATCTTTTTAGGGGGACACAATTCAACCCACAGCACTATGTCCGTCCTCTGGTCTCCCAAAATGCATGTCCTTCCCATGTACAAAATACATTCACCCCATCCCAGCATCCCCCAAAATCTTAACCCATTCCAGCATCCACTCTAAGTCCAAAATCTCATCTTCTGAATCATCTAAATCAGGTAAGGCTAAGACTCTGGGTATGGTCCATCCTGGGGCAAAATTCCTCTCCATCTGTGGACCTGTGAAACCTAGGATATAAGTTATCTGCTTCTAAATTCCAATTGTGGAACAGGCCTACAGAGGACATTCCCATTCCAAAAAGGAAAATTGGAGGGAAAGAAGAGATCAATGGGTAACAAGCAAGTCCAAAACCCGGCAGAGGGAACTGCATTACATCTTAAGTCTTGAAGATAATCCTCTGTTCTCCAGGACCAGCTGGGCAATGGCCCTACCCTCTGGACTCTGGGCAGTGGAAAGAGGGTCATACACATGGAGAAGATGCCACGTGAAGGTGCCATCTACGAGCAACAAAGGAACACCAAGGATTGCCTACAACCACCAGGATTTAGAAGAGAAGCATGGAATAGTTCCTCTCTGAGAACCCTCAGAAGAAATCAACACAGCCGATACCCTGATTTGGACTTCTAGTCTCCAGAACAATGAGAAAATAAATTGCTGTTCTTTAAAGCCACCCACATTGTGGTATTTTGTTATGGCAGCCCTAGGAAACTAAGGTAGATACTCAAACCTATCACCAGGAGATGTGAGGTAAAAATAAATGCAAATTTATAAATATTATGTGATGAATTTGCTTACTTTAAGATTTTCATTGTATTTTCTTGGCCACTAAAGACAGGGATTTTGATTTGAAATTTATACCTGATATAATTGTTTATACCACTCTATAAAATTAGCTTTGTTTCAATATTAAATACATATATATTTTGTATTAAGTACATGTCATGGTTTGAATTATGTCCCCCAAAAAATGTGTGTATCAGTTTGGCTGGGCCATGATTCCTGGTACTGTGTGATTTTCCTATATGTTGTAAATCCTGCCTCTATGATGTTAATGAGGGAGGATGGGTGGCAGTTGTAGTAAGGCAGGACTGGATCTACAAGACTGGATTGTGTCCTGAG